TAGACCACAACACAATAATTTTGGGTGACTTTAACACATCTCTTTTATCACTAGAGAGTTCTTCCAAACAAAAGCTGAAAAAAGAAACTATAGAACTCAATAATACAATCAATAACTTAGACTTAACTGACATATATAGAATATTCATCCTTCAATGAGAGAATATATATGTTAATCAGCAGCACATGGATCCTTCTCTAAAATAGACCATATACTATGCCACAAGCAACTCTTAGCAAATGTAAAAAAGTAGAGATACTACCCTGCATTCTATCCGATCAAAATGAAATGAAATGAGAAATCAATGATAACACCTGGAGACTAAATAATATGCTACTGAATGAACAATGGGTTACAGAAGACATCAATGAGGAGACTAAAAAGTTTTTAGAGGTGAATGAGAACACAGATACAACATATCAAAATCTCTGGAATACTATGAATGCAGTTCTAAGAGGAAAATTCATTGCATGGAGTTCATTCCTTAAAAGAAGAAAAAGTTAACAAATAAATGACTGAACATATCATAGGCCTCAAAAAATAAGAACAAATCAACACCAAAGCAGCAGAAGACAGGAAATAATTAAAATCAGAGCTGAAATCAAAGAAACTGAAACAAAAAATATAGAAAAAAATTGACTGAACAAAAAGTTGGTTCTTTGAAAAAATAAATAAAATTGACAGACCCTTACCCATGCTAATGAAGAAAAGGAGAGAGAAAACTCAAATCAATAAACATAAGTGATGAAAAAGGAAATATCACAAGACACTACAGAAATACAGAAGATAATTAGAAATTATTTTGAAAACTTGTACTCCAATAAATTAGAAAATATCAAAGGTTTTGATGAATTTCTAGAGTCAAATAATTTGCCCAAATTGAATCAAGATGATATACAAAATTTAAACAGATCAATTTCAAGTGATGAAATAGCAGACGCCATCAAAAGTTTACCAACCAGGACCTGGGGTTGGGGCTCAGTTGAAGAGTGCTTGCCTAGCATGTGTGAGGCACTGGATTCAATTCTAAGCACCACATATAATTAAATAAAATATAGGTCCACCAACAACTAATAAAAATATTTTTTTAAAAAGTCTGCCAATTAAAATAGCCCAACACTGGATGGATGCACAGCTGAGTTCTACAAGACCTTTAAAGAAGAACTAATACCAATACTCTCCAATTTATTTTAGGAAATAGAAAAAGAGGTGGCACTTCCAAACTCATTCAATGAGGCCAATATCACTCTGATTCCAAAACCAGGCAAAGATACATCAAAAAGAAAAAAAAAACTTCAGACCAATATCTCTAATGAACATAGATGCAAAAATTCTCAATAAAATTCTGGCACATTGAATACAAAAACATATCAAAAAGATCATGTTCCACAATCAAGTGGGATTCATCCCAGGGATGCAAGATTGGTTCAACATACAGAAATCAATAAATGTAATTCATCACATCATTAAACTTAAAGATAAGAATCATATGATTATCTCAATAGATGCAGAAAAAGCATTAGACAAAATACAGCACCCCCTCATGTTCAAAACACTAGAAAAACTAGGGATAACAGGAACATATTTCAACATCATAAAAGGCTATCTATGCTAAGCTCCAGGACAACATCATTTTAAATGGAGAAAAATTGAAGGCATTCCCTCTAAAAACTGGAACAAGATAGGGATGTCCTCTTTTTCCTCTTCTATTTAACATAGTTCTTGAAACACTGGCCAGAGCAATTAGACAGACTAAAGAAATTAAAGAGATACACATAGGAAAAGAAGAATTCAAATTGGCACTATTTGATAATGATTTGATTCTATACATGGATGACCCTAGAAGTTCCACCAGAAAACTTCTAGAACTAGTCAATGAATTCAGCAAAGTAGCAGGATATAAAATCAACACCCATAAATCAAAGGCATTTCTAGATAACAGTGACATATCCTCTGAAAGGGAAATAAGGTAAACTACCCCATTTACAATAACCTTATAAAAAAAAATACTTGGGAATCAACGGGAATCAACTTAATGAAAGATCTATATAATGAAAATTACAGAACCCTAAAAAAGATGTCAAAGAAGACCTTAGAAAATGGAAAGGTCTACCTTGCTCTTTGATAGGCAGAATTAATATTATCAAAATGACCATACTTCCAAAAGCACTATACAGATTTAATGCAATTCTAACCAAAAGTCCAATGACATTCCTCATAGAAAGAGAAAAAGCAACCATGAAATTCATCTGGAAAAATAAGAGACCCAGAATAGCTAAAGCAATCTTTAGCAGGAAGAGTAAAGCAGGTGGCATAACTATACCAGACCTTAAACTGTACTACAGAGCAATATTAACAAAAACAGCATGATACTGGCACCAAAACAGACTGGTAGACCAATGGTACAGAATAGAGGACACAGAAACTAACTCACAAAATTACAATCATCTTATATTAGACAAAGGTGCCAACAACATGAATTGTTGGTGGTGGGAAAACTGGAAATCCATATGCAACAAAATGAAATATAAACCCTATCTCTCACCATGAACAAAACTCAACTCAAAATGGATCAAGAACCTAGGAATAAAACCAGAGACCCTGTGTCTCATAGAAGAAGAAGTAGGCCCTAATCTCCATTGTGTGGGATTAGGCCCCAACTTCCTTAATGTGGCACAAGAATTAAAATCCAGAATCAATAAATGGGATGGACTCAAACTAAAAAGTTTCTTTTTCAACAAAAGAAAAAATCTGTGAGGTGAATGGAGAGCCTATATCTTGGAAACAAATCTTTACCCTTACACTAGAGCATTAATCTCTAGGGTATATAAAGAACTCAAAAACCTAAGCATCAAAAAAAATAAATAAATAACCCAATCAATAAATGAGCCAAGGACCTGAAGAGATACTTCTCAGAAGAAGATATACAATCAATCAACAAATATATGAAAAAATGTTCATCATCACTAGCAATTAGAGAAATGAAAGTCAATACCACTTTAAGATTTCATCTCACTCCAATCAAAATGGCAGCTATTATGAAGACAAAAAACAGTAAGTGTTAGTGAGGATGTGGGGGAAAAGATACACTCATACACTGCAAATTGGTGAGACTGCAAAATGGGGAAAGCAATATGAAAAGCAGTATGCAGATTTCTTGGAAAATTGGAAATGGAACCACCATTTGACCCAGCTATTCCTCTCTTTGGTCTATACCCAAAGGACTTAAAAACAGCATACTACAGGGACACAGCCACATCAGTGTTCATAGCAGCACAATTCACAATAGCTAAACTGTGGAAACAACCTAGATGCCCTTCAAAAGATGAATTGATTTTTTTAAAATGTGGCATATATACACAATGGAATATTACTCAGCAATAAAAGGGAATAAAATCATGGCATTTGCAGGTAAATGGATGGATTTAGACAATGTAATGCTAAGTGAAGTTAGCCAATCCCTCAAAACCAAATGCTGAATGTTTTCTTGGATAAAAGGAGGCTGATTCATAGCGGGGTAGGGAGGGGAAACATGGGAGGATCAGACAAACTCTAGATAGGGCAGAGGGGTTAGAGTGTAAGAGAGGAGGAATGGGGGCATAAAAGATAATGGAATGTGATGGTCATTATTATCCAAAATACGTGCATGAAGACAGAAATTGGTGTGGATATAGTTTGTATATAACCAGAGATATTTAAAATTGTGCTCTATACATGTAATAAGAATTGTAATGCATTCTGCTTTCATATATAAATTTTTTAAAAACTATAAAAAAGAATGGATTAAGAAAATGTGGTAAGAAAATTGAGTTTTAGTCAGCCATAAAGAAGAATTTATTGCATTTGCAGGTATATGGATGGAAATGGACAACATCATGCTATGTGAATAAGCCAAACTCAGAAAATCTAGAGTCAAATGTTTTCTCTCACATGTAGAAGTTAAGCAAAATGATGGAAAAAATAAAGATGTCTCAAATAAATAACATAATGATGCATCTCCATGTTTTAGGAAAAACAAAGAACAAACCAATCTCCAAACAGCAAAAGTAAAGAAATAACAAAGATCAGAGCAGAAATAAATGAAATGGAAACTGAAAGAACAATACAAAACATTAAATGAACAAAGAGTTAATGCTTTAGAAAAATAAACAAAATGCACAAACATTTAACTGAAGAAACAAAGAAAAGACCAAAATAAATAAAATTAGAGGTTAAAAAAAAGACACATTATAACAGAAAACACTGAAATGTACAGGATCATTAGGAAATATTTTGAAAAACAGTATGCCAATATGTTACAAAACTAGAAGTTATGGGAAATTTTCTGAACATAAATGATCTATCAAAATTGAATCCAGAAGATGTAAGAAATCTAAATAGATCAATAATGAGTAATGAGATGGAAGCAGATAAAATAAACAAAAACAATGAACAGTCTAGCACTAGATGGATTAAGTGCTGAATTTTAACACAGATTAGAAAATAACTAACATCAATGCCAATCAAACAGTTCCATAAGAGTGAAAGGGCCTTTCCAGATTCATTCTATTAAAAACTGTTACCCTGTTACTGAAACCAGATAAGAACGTCACATACACACACACACACACACACAATATATATATATATATATATATATATATATATATATATATATATATATATATATATATATGTATATACACACACATATACATACATATATATATATACACACACATATACATATATATATATATATATTTATACACACATACATGTACATATATATATATATATATATATATATTATCAGGGTTATTATATATATTATATATTATATATTATATTATATTATATATTATATATTATATATATATATTATATATTACATATAATATATGTACATATATGTACATATATAATATATATTATATATATAATAACCCTGATAATCATAGATGTAAAAATTCTCAGTAAAATACATGCATATGGAAATCACAGCACATTAAAAGATCATATGCCATTATCAATTGGGTTTTATTCCAGGGATGCAACAATGGTTCAACATATACAAATCAACAAACAAAATTCAGTATATAACTAAAATCAAGGATCAAAATCACATGATACCAACAATATATGCAGGGAAAAGTTTGATTAAATTCAACATTCTTTCTTGAAAAAAAAATTCCTGGCTAAATTAGGTATAGAAAAATCATACTTCATTATAATATGTGAACGTCTAGAGCGTTCGGGTCCCTGGGTAAGGTTCGTGAAATAACCAGGACACAGGGGATGCAGAGCCAAGGCAGCAAATGCAACTGCATGCTGAAGTTTATTTGCAAGTTCCTTTTATATACTTCTTCTAACAAAGCAAGCAATTCTTCAATAACACTTTACCTACATTGTCCAAATATCATGCCTCAGCGGATACACAGAGCTAGATTCAAATTGTTCCTGTTTGTTTGATAAGTACCCTCCTAAAGTTCTTTGTAGACATTATCTACTCCTCTGAGGATGCATTTGTTTCTTTTAGAATGTACTGTTCCCAGGATAAGTATGCAGGAAGCTTCTTCCTCTTGGCCAAACCATGCAGAACTTGTGACTTGTGATAAGGGGAAAAGAATGTTTCCTCCTCCTAACTGAGGTTTGCCTCAGCTGACCTAAATCACAGCCACAGCTCTTGCAAACTGTCAGGCCTGAGGGAGCTAAACTCTGCACACTTAAACCCCAACAATTCCTTCTTTTTTCTTTTGCTTTTCTAAAACAGCTTTTCACAAAATTAATATAGAGTTTAGAGATGGTCTTATGCACATGCAATATATAATTATAAACAGGATAATAACTAAGCATAACACTATTCCCACTCCTCCAGCCATATGGGTAAGACTTTGAGCAATTCCTTTGGGATCTAATCCTTCTAACTGTTTTAAAAACAATTCAGCTATTTGTGCAGCATCATCATGTTGAAACCCTTTTCCAAAAATTTCAAATATATCCTTTTGTAAAGAATCAATCATTAATTGAGCTGTATCATTACCATCGAGATAATTTTGTATGATACTCCATTCGTGTAAGCTTTGATTATATTGTACATTAGTTATACAGAAAGAAGTTGAATTCCAGTCACATTTTAATCTAATTTCTTGTTCTAAGGTGAGTATCTTTTTTCCTAACCAATTAACTGTCTGTTTTAAAATATCTATTTGAGTTTGAAGTCTAGAATCAATTTGAGTCTGGGATAGCCATAACTCATGCGAATCTTTATGCCATTCCTCAACAAACTGTTTTGTTTGTAAAGAAGTATGTAAAGCTATCCCTGAAACTGTAGCAACTGTAGTCACTGCAATAAGACTTAGAATTACAGCAACAACAACTCTCATAAACCGTTTAGTACATTTTAACAATTGTCTAAAAAATTCCAGAACCAAAGTGTTTACAGGATCTTGGGACCATGTTCTTTGTAAATTTACAGGAAGCCAAATGTGAGAGCGCTGTTGTAACAGCACAATGGAATAACCAGGAGGAATAGAAACAGATGTATTAATACAGGTATACAATTTACAATTAAAGCATAAAATTCCCTCATCAAAAGTAACATTTCCAATTAAGAACAGGTATGGCATGGGCACACATGTGGTTATATTATACTCTTTAAATACAGTAAAATTATAAGAAGCAGGAGATTGACTAGTCCCAGAGAAAGAGCCATTAGACAAAATTACAGGTTTAGTTGCAGCAGCAATTTTCCATAAATGTGTTTGTAAATGATGAAGGTACTGCACTGAAGCCAAGCGTGGATCAGCAATTCCGCCATCACCCCAGGCCATCAATTTGTTGTTCCGAATGGTTACATTCCATCTCTCTTTCGGCAGGATTCTGTATGTAGGCTGGGGTAGTGGATAGGGTGCCCCCCTTGGTGCTGTTCTGATTGTGACGGGTCTGGATCCACCGCCCTGGGAGCCACTGCCGGTGTCCATTTTCTGTTGAAACATAAGCATAGTCCTTTCCTCTATAAAGTAAAATCCCTGGCTGCCCTTTTTATCCAAATTGGTTCATGAACTGTTTCTAAGGTTTTTTTGCTCAAAATGTCGTTCTGCTCTTGTCAATATTTCTCCTTGTGGAAGATTAAGAAAATTTAAAATAAATAAGGCTTGATGTAACAATGCTTTAGGTTGATTTTGTAAATGTCTAAACAAGTGCATATTTAAATCTGTCATTTTCCTCCTTTTTAATTTTTTAATTTGTGTTTTAAGCATAGCATGTACATGTTCTACTAAAGCTTGTCCTTGTGGATTATATTCTATTCCAGTTAGATGAACAATATCATATAATTTGCAAAAATCTTTAAAAATTTTACTAGTATAAGCTGGACCATTATCAGTTTTAATCATAGCAGGAATTCCCATAATAGCAAATGTTTCCACTAAGTGTTGAATAACATGACGGGTGGTTTCTCCAATTTGAGCGGTAGCCCACAAAAATTTAGAGTATGTGTCAATAGTAACATGAACACAAGAATAACGTCCAAACAAGGGAACATGTGTAACATCCATTTGCCATAATTCATTAGGTTGAATCCCTCTAGGATTTACTCCAGAAGGTACAATCCTCAGATTGTAAAGGTCGACAAACTGGACAATTTTTAATAATTTGTTTTGTTTGTTTATATGGAATCTTATATTTAATGTATAAATGTCCGGCATTAGAATGAAACAGATTATGTTCTTCTTGAGGAGTTTCGAACATCACTAATTTGTCTACCTGAGCATTACCATATGTCAAAAATCCTGGTAATTTAGAGTGTGATCTAATATGATCTATAAATATGCGAGCATTACGAGCTTGTAAAAGTTTTTGTAAAGTAAGAAAAAGATTTTGTAGAGTAGGTTTATTAGAATAGGCGACTGCAGTAAATATATTTTTAATTACTCCTATCGTGTATGCAGAGTCAGTAAGAATGTTAATGTCTTGATTATCAAAATCATTTAAAACTTGAATGACTACAAATAATTCATTTTGTTGAACAGATTGATAGTTTGTTATTTGAACCCAATATTGATTCTCTGTCCAATAAGCACTTTTAGTTTTTGATCCATCAGTAAACACAGTAACAACATTGTCTAAAGGATATTCACTAATAATATTATTGATTACAAATTGTTGACGTTTTAACATGTCCCATAATTTGCCCTTGGGGAAATGATAGGAAATACCTCTGGTATATTCAGCCAAAGCTATTTGTAGCATTTCAGTCATTTGTACCAAGTAAGTCCATTGGTCTTTAGGTAATGGGGTAATTATGTGAGAAATGTCATTGCCCATCAAAGTTATACTTCTCTGTCTTCCTTGTTCAATTAATAATGCGATCTGGTCAGCATATGGCATAATATTTTTGGAGAATCTATGTTTTGTATATAGAAAAGTGTTAGAGTCAAACATTCAACTCAACAAAAATAAGAAACATTTTTGATTCTTTTGTTAGATGTAGATTGTTTTTTTTTTTTTTTTGCTAATGAATGTTTTTTAGCTGTAATATCACTGAGCTGAACAAATAAATCACCTTGAGTACATAAGGAAAAATAAACACATGCTAAATGGATAAACTACATCTTTACTAGATCATCTTTACCTCTAATACTTCAGAAGCTTAGAGATTTAGAGTATTCTTACATTAACTGCAAGAAAAATTAAAGGAGAAATTCCTTTTGAGATCACAACTATGAAGTTATGTGGTTATAAAATTTTGCATTTGTGTGCAAAACATGAATCACATTTACCTTTATTTTTCTTATTTAGTCTTGTCAATCACCTAGCAGGATTTAACAGATACCTTTCAAAGAAACAGAGATTGAGATGTGTTTATATAACTTCAATAACCTCATCTCTATAGTAATGAGAGATGTAGTATCCTTTTGCTATGGTTCAAGACAACAGGGAAGGAGAGATCACAAGAAAGAGAAATCAAAATTATTACAACTGAGAAACTACTTCTCATTAAGTTTTACCATGGTGCCACCTTCATTTTTACATAAGCATGGTGGCATAATTCAAGCTCAATAAATCGGAAATCTTAATATTTAAAATTTACCTTGACTTAAATGCCATTAACTTTAGAAAAAAATTTAGTGGAGAGAAGAATGTTATTTCATTTAGGAAAAATAACCATTATCTTTTTTCCTAATCTTTAACACACACAATTTAAATATATACAGTTGCTTTAACACTTTACATAATTCCTATGTACTGGAGCAAAATTATTATAATGAGTAGCAAAAGCATTAAGCAATGCTTTTACATAATGGGATTGAGGTCTGTACATTGTCACTGCCTTTTTTAATCTGCTAATATGATCAATATCAATCTCCTCATACCGAGGTGGATGTGCCATTCCATTAGCTGGATCAGGCCTGATTATAGGAAAAGCAAAGAAAGGAGTTTCATCCTCATCGTCAGAAGGTTCTAAGTCCATTTCCTGGACAGCCTTTAAGGAAGCTGCCAAAAAAGGATTGGTGGCCGGAGGGGCAGAGGGCCTGGTTCCCGATAAAGGCTTAGGGTCTATTTTAGCTTCTGATTTATTAAGACGTCCCAAAACCTCCTCCATAACAAGTTTGAATTGCTCCGAAACGGAGTGATCATCAATCATCGTTTTTACTTTCGTTTTCTTTTCTGTAGCAGTACCAATTAAATCAGCAGAATTTTGTGAAGAATTATGAGTCAATTGTTGCGTATCTTTTATTACCTCTTCTTTTTCACTAACATCCAGAGGGAGATCTAGAATAGAGGGAGCTAGCTCCTTTTGTAAGTTGCCAATTAACCTTTCTTCCTCCATAGCTTTAAACATTGTATATAAAATAGACCAGATAGACCAAAACCGAATTGGAATTTTTTCACCTTGCCTCATGGCCTTTTCAACATTGTGATGGACCCGTTTCCAATTATCCACATCCATAGATCCTTCCTCCGGGAACCAGGGATTCCATTCCCTGACCACCTTAAGACACATCTCTATATCAGAATGGGAAATACTAATACCATAGACAGCAAGTGAATGCCTAAGAATACGTAAAAAAGGAGAAGATGAAGATTGTCCTATCACCCTGTAATATAAAGAAAAATAACTTACCCTTCCTGACAATCCAACAGGGTCCCTATTCCGGCGCCAATTGTGAACGTCTAGAGCGTTCGGGTCCCTGGGTAAGGTTCGTGAAATAACCAGGACACAGGGGATGCAGAGCCAAGGCAGCAAATGCAACTGCATGCTGAAGTTTATTTGCAAGTTCCTTTTATATACTTCTTCTAACAAAGCAAGCAATTCTTCAATAACACTTTACCTACATTGTCCAAATATCATGCCTCAGCGGATACACAGAGCTAGATTCAAATTGTTCCTGTTTGTTTGATAAGTGCCCTCCTAAAGTTCTTTGTAGACATTATCTACTCCTCTGAGGATGCATTTGTTTCTTTTAGAATGTACTGTTCCCAGGATAAGTATGCAGGAAGCTTCTTCCTCTTGGCCAAACCATGCAGAACTTGTGACTTGTGATAAGGGGAAGAGAACGTTTCCTCCTCCTAACTGAGGTTTGCCTCAGCTGACCTAAATCACAGCCACAGCTCTTGCAAACTGTCAGGCCTGAGGGAGCTAAACTCTGCACACTTAAACCCCAACAATAATATATGCCAACCTCAAAGCTAATACTATATGAGAGGGGAAAAAATGGAATAATTTCCAATAACCTTAGGAACTGATAGGTGTCCAGAGCCAGGACCCTTATTCTATATAGTACTAGAAATGTTGCCCAAAGGAATTAATCAAGAAAAAGAAACAAAAGAGATACAAATAAAAACAAAATTATCTCTGTTTCTAGATGATGATTCTGTACATAGAACACTAAAGACTCCACCAAAAGACTTAGAAGTGATGAAAAAAATTAAGAAAGTAGCTAGATGCAAATTCAACATATAAAATAAAAATCAGCAGGTTTTGAAACTTAAGGGTGTCGAATTTTTATAAAATGAAAATTACAAAACACTGAATACTAGAGGGTGGAACTGAATAAAGAAATTGAAGACCATTCTAGAGGGTAGAAAGACGTCTCATGTTTATGGATTGTGAGAATATTTGTGAAATGGCTATCCTTCCAAAAGCAATCTACAGATTTGATGAAATCCCCATCAAAATGCTAATGAAATTCTCCACTGAACCAAAAACAAAAAATCTAAAATTCATATGGTAGCACAACAGATCCTAAATAGCTAAAGCAATCCTTAGCAAAAAAAAAAAAAGCAATGCTAGAGACACATTGCAATAACTGATTTCAAAATATACCAAAGGCCTTAGTAACAAAAGCAGCATGGTACTGGCATAAAATACATACATAGATCAATGGAACAGAATATTCTCTGACTCAGAAATAATTCTATGCACCTACAGCCAACAGATTCTCTATAAAAGCTTCCTTTCAACAAATTGTGCTGGGAAAACCAGATATCCACATATAGAGACAAAATCTAGATTCCTTGCTCTCACCCTGTACTGAAATCAACTCAAAATGGATGAAAAACCTTATTGTAAGACCTAGAACTTTAAAGCTACTAGAAGAAACCTTGGAGCAAACACTTGGAGATATTGACACAGGCAATAATTTTCTGGATAGAATTCTAAGAGCTCAGGGAAGAAAAGCAAGAATTGACAAATGGGATAATATTGAATTTAAAAAATTTCTACACAGCTAAGGAAATAATCCGAAGAGTGAATCGATAACCTCTCTAGAGAATGGGAGAAAATATTTACTAACTACTCGAAAGACACGATTAATATCCAGAATATATAAAGAACTCCGAAAATTCAACAGCAAAAAGCAAGTAATAAATCAAAACACGGGCAAAAGACTTGAATAAACAATTCTCAAAAGAAGAAGCACGAAGGCCAATAAATACAGAAAATAATACTCAACACCTTTAACCATCAAAACTATACTGAGATTCCATCTCACCCAATTAGAATGGCTATGATTAAAGAAAAGAAAGATGACTAAATGCTGGAGAGGAAGTGAGGGGACCACACACACATTGTTGGTAGGACTGGTAATTAGTATGCAAAACAGTATGGAGTCCCCCCCCCAAATAAAAATAGAACTAACATGTGATCCACTATACCATTCCTGGGAACATACCCCCCAAAAATAAAGTCAGCATACAAAAGGTACCAACATACTCCTGTTTACTGGGGCACTTTTCACAGGAATCAACCTAGGTGCCATTCAACAGATGAAAAAAAAAATGTTAAACATGATGTACATTTATAAGAACCTCCATAAAGAATAACCTCATGCCATTGTAGGAATACAAAATTGGTGTCCACTGCCATGGAACTGGAGTCATCATGTTAAGCAAAATAAGTTGCAAACAAACAACAAGTATCACATGATTTTTCTCATAGGTGGAAACTAAAAGAATGAAAATAAAAATGACCTGTAAGTAGAAAAGGAACTATTATAAAATGACAAAGGTGCTGGAGAAGGAAGAGGAGTGGAGAGGATAAGCTGGGATAAAAGGGAGGGTGGACATGATCATGCACAATATAAGAATGCATGAAAACATCACAGTGAAACCCATTAATTTGTACTGTTTCCACAACTATTGCATGTTAATAAAAGTGAGTAAAGTAGATAACTATGAAACATTTGAGAAAGTAAAACAAGCCAAAACATTCATATGGTGAAATATTCACTGTGAAAAACAAATCAGCTTTCAAGGCATGTAAAAACATGAAGAACTTAAATGTATACTACTAAGCGAAAGAAGCCAATCTGGAAAGGCTGCATAATATTTTATTTCAATCATGTGACATTATGGAAAAAGCAAACTATGGGGCCAATAAGATCAATGGTTACCAGAGGTCAAACGAGAGGGAGGGATGACTAGGCAAAGCACAGAAAATCTTTAGGTCAATGAAATTACACTCTATGACACTATAATAGTGTATAGGTGTCATTACATATTTGTCCATACCCATGGAATATACAATATCAATATGAACAATAATATAACCTGTGAACTTTGGTGCTAATGGTATGTACATTAACAATGTAGGAATGTCAGATGGCTGATATGACCTGCCCTAGTTGATCAAGCTTCCCACCAAAGACTTCCATTGTAATCTCTGACACTGGTGTGTTTTCAACACTCTTTTTTTCTATTTCCTTTCATCTGCAACATCTATATTTCCTTTCCTTTTCACATTTCTTTACATCTTTCTTCTCTAAATTAATCCACAGACCAGTGCCAGTCCTTGGATTGCTTGTTACTAGTCCTCCTCAAGGTAAGCCCAAAAGTGACAAGAAGCATTCAAAACTTGCAGGAAAATTTCACACTGCCTGGCATTAATGCAGATTTTTACTGGATTTTCAAAAGTACTCCTAGGTGAAATTTAGGAAATTAAAACTAGAAATAAATAACTTTGTCTTTCACCCAGATAATTTAGGGAAAACTGCACCTGAGATGTTTGATAAACATGTTACTTGTGAACTTTGAAACCAAATCTTAGGAATTGGCACAAATTTGGGGCATACAGGTTTAGAGAGATGTTTTGGAAATACCTGCTTCAGAGCTGAAGCAAGAGTTGCATGACACAAAAGGAGGTACTAGAGGGAAGGACATGATGTGTAGATACTCCTCCTCAGCAGGAAAATGAGCCACACCCCATTTCCCTACCCTCCAGAGCAAACATGCCTTCCCCACTTAGTAGTGATCCTGTCCAGGCTGATAGCACTCTCTCAGCCGCCCACCTGCTCTCTGCACATGTTCACTGGCACCTCTTCCTCCCATGGGGTATTGTCCTGAGACTCTGAATTTTCAGAGGACACTCTGCCCACATAGCAGAACCAGTGGGGGTAAGTTTACACTAGGACCTCAAGTACCATAGCTGTCTTAGAACTAAGATTCACAATCCCAAGAGTCTCTCATATGGAGAGAAAAGCAGGTAGCTTGGACAATTTCAGACAAATATTTAGTTAGCTGAGCCTGTGAAATTATATCACCATTTAACTGTACTACTCTTGTTAAAAAGTGTCTTTTTTAATTGTGAATTAATTGGATACATTTGTGGATCATGTGATATTTTGGTGGCTGTATACATGGTGGGATGAACAAATCTATTTCATTAGCATATCTATTATTATAATTTCCTGTGGTGATAACATTTGAAATCTTTTTAGCTGTTTTAAAATGTTAATTATAATGGATTACAGTCACTATGCTGTGCTATACAACCCCAGAATTATTTATTCTGATCCAATCATCAAACTGAAACTTTGTACCTGTAATTGTATGATTTTTATTGCTTATTTAAATCCATGCCTAAGCTAGGACTAAGCCAGTTGACATTGCATACAGGCTGATACAAACAAAAGTGTTCACAAACGGAGAAGAAAAGGAGTTTTATGTAGCTACAAGAGCGAGTTAAGAAATCACAGGACTTTTTCAACTACCCAGGTGGGGAGATCACCATAACAGGTGAGTAGGAAAACTATGGAGACTCTGCCATTCTCTGTGTCTAGTCCTGCCAACCATCAGAGCATAGGGTAATGAAAAATAAATTAGAAAGATCATGTCTCTGCCAAGGTCTTCTCCCAAGTAAGAGAAAGAGAAGAAAGGGGGAAAGTTTAGGAGAAAAGTGTGGAAAACAAAACATGATGCGACACCCTGTCTTCTACCAAGAATAGGTTAGTTTTGAGACGTCTTGAAGACAAAGTATTTTCCTAAGAACCAATCAGCAGTACAGACTTCTGTGGGGAGTGAGTGTCTAGAGTCACTCAGCTAACATCTAGTTGGAGAAAGAGAAATATGCCAAGAAATCATGATTATATCTTATAATATTTATTTGCCTTGTATCATGTGTGACACTATGCAGGTGGAAAATGTACAAATGTGCCACAGAATTTCAGAAAATGGCAAGTATCAGAGTGGTCTAGAATTTTTCTGGAATTCTTTCTGGAGAGATGAGTTCTGATTCAAAGACAGATAATTGAGTTTGGATTGGTGCAGGGGCAACCAAGCCCAGGTGGGCAGCAGGATCTCATAAAGTCAGAAAAGAATCTTTTTAAATTTGTGTTTTTAATATGCATATGTGTATATTCAATGCCTTATATGTACATTTTTAATTTACATAATTAATTTTGATAAACATTTACCATGCTTGTTACTTTCTTTTTTAAAAATTTTTTATAGTGGTAGATGGACATAATGCCTTTATTTTATTTGTTTATTTTTTTATGTGGTGCTGAGGATTGAACCCAGTGCCTCACACATGCCAGGTGAGTGCTCTACCACTGAGCCACAACCTCAGCCCATGCTTGTTACTTTCTTCACAACAGCACATTATGTTATATGTAAATATATTGAATTGCTTCTAAATTCTGGTAGCTGTCTCTCAATATACAATCAGCACATTTTTCTTAACCACTTTATAGTAGCACATATTTTATAGTAGCACTTATATAAAGTCTATTTAATTCCCAACAACTACACACACAAATATTCAATCAAAGGAAATAAAATTGTCTGCATTATTTTTATTGATCTGAGAAATATTCTGTGATTGCTCAATGGAAACAAGACAAAGATGCCTAATATGGC